CCCCTCCATAATTGCCTTTCAGGTATTTGAAGACTCTTATCAAATTCCACCCTGCCCCCCGCTACATTTCGCCAGACCAAATAACCTTAGTTTTTTCAGACTTTCCTCATTAGTCTTGCCTCCCAGGCCTTTAACCATTTTTGTTGCTCTTCTCTGTGTTCTTCCAAACTGTTTACATCCTTCTAGAAGTGTGAGGCCCAAAACTGGACACCGTACTCCATAAGACCTCATAAATACCAAACAGAGCAGAAGAATAACGTGCATGATGTTTTTCATCCCAAGTGCAGGATTTTGCACTTGCCCTTGTTGAATTTAATCTGATTGATTTTGGACCAGTCCTCCAATTTATCAGGGTCATTCTGAAACCTCACCCTACCCTCCAGAAAGTCTGCAACTACACCCTCTTAGTGTGGCTCACAATCACATCCTCTAAATTACATCTTCCAACCTGTTGTGAAAGAAAATCAGTTTCGTTAAGCATGATTTTATTCTTGACAAATCCATGTTGATTGTTCCTGATCATCTTGGGGTGCAGGCACAGGAATGCTTGGAGCCCTTTCAATAGGGGAACTTTTCAAAGAGGAAGCAGCTGGTATATTTTAATTGTTATGTGTGAATGAGCTGAGGACCATATGGATGCAGCAAACCCTCCAACTTTAACACTCTTTTATCCAGGGTTTAAGTTGAAGAGCATTTGCTGCATTTGACTCTAACAATAAAGATTAGAACAGAAGGTACTAGCTGCTGTCCTTTTTAAATGTCCACGTTTTGAAAGGGCTCCAAGGTTTGTGTGTCCACACCTTTGTTGTTCTCTACATGCTTAGAAATAGATTCCTTGATGTTGTGCTCTATAATTTTATAGAATATCAAGGTCAGTGTAGCAGAGCACTGAGGTGCCTGCTACTTGGAGAGCCGGGATAACGCATCAGGTGCCGGTTGCTAGGGCAACTAGAGGAAGCCAGTGACCGAAAGGGGCAGAGCCAGACTCCCATTTAAATTCCAGGGCTAAGGCCACTGGGGGAGTTCCCTGCTAGCAGCCAAGGGGGAAAGGATCCCTGTTGGAATGAGTAATGCATAGAGGCCAAACTGCAGGTACGGCCTGAGATTGGGGACAGATGAAGCAACTCTGGTGTGGCAAGAAGAAGGTGGGAGCCAGATGGCTTAGATATATATTATAGCCCAGGGGCTTGCGTTTTGTTTGCTGTTTTCACCGGCGGTTTGGGTGAGGCTAAGAGGGGATGGAGGAGGCATGGTTGGAGCCACGCATAGCCCATAAGGCTAGTGTGCACAGACCACCCAATACAAGAACGGGACTAGTGATAACAAGAGAACCGTGGCCAAGAGGATGAAAGGCAGCCTCCCTATAAAATATATATGACATCAAAGTCATGGCGGGCGAGAGTTGAGGGTGCTTGTAGGCAGCTTGGCATGGTAAAGGAGGTGACAGGGGAGAGCACGGCGAACCTGCCCACCCTCCTGTTACAGTCAGGCTAACCAGTCTGTAATATCCTGTGTCTTCTTTCTTTCCTATTTTAAAGATGGGTACTCCAGTCATCTAGGACCTCTTCCGACTTCCATGAGATCTCAAAGCACTCAAAGAGCCAGCACCTCTGCAATTATGGCTGCCAGTTCCTTGACTATTCTAGGATGCATCTTGTCCATCCCTGCCTATTTGAAGACATTCTGCTTCTGGAAGAAATCTAACCCAGTGGTTTTCAATCATTCTAGTCTTGAGGCAGTCTTCATTAGTTTCAAGACCCTCCCAATAATCTCAAGGCGCCCCTTGGAAAATGCCTGCTCTCTGTTTTCATTCCTTTTTGAAGTGCAGAAAAAATAATGGAACAACTCTTAAGTTGCAAAGAATTCAGAAAGACCTCAACAGGCCAGAATTTCTGGGTTTAGCTTGTTGATTAGGTTTGTACACTTAGCAGTGCTGACATTGTGTGACACCCCCTGGCACCCTTAAAAGGATCTTGCAGAACCCCACGGTGCCTCAGCACCCTGGTTGAAAATCATTACTGTAACCTATTCTTTTCCCTACTCTAAGCTGCTTATCTCCTCCCCTGTTCTTGCTGCCAGCTGTGCTCATTTAGGCACCGGTCATGTTAATGAAGGCTGAAGTAAAAAAGACATTACATAGTTCAGGTTCTTTGCATCATGCATTATTCAATTGGTTTCTGCATTCAGTAAGGGACCTACACCTCTTCTGGTCTTTCTCTCTGATGGTGTTCAATGCCGATAAATGCAAGGTTCTCCACCTTGGGGGAAAAAAACCCCCGCAGCATCCTTATAGGCTCGGCAGTGCTATGTTGGCTAGCACTATGGAAGAAAGAGACTTGGGGGTCATCATTGACCACAAGATGAACATGAGCCTGCAATGCGATGCGGCGGCTAGTAAAGCGACCAAAACGCTGGCTTGCATCCATAGATGCTTCTCAAGCAAATCCCGGGACGTCATTCTCCCCCTGTACTCGGCCTTAGTGAGGCCGCAGCTGGAGTACTGTGTCCAGTTTTGGGCTCCACAATTCAAAAAGGATGTGGAGAAGCTTGAGAGAGTCCAGAGAAGAGCCATGCGCATGATCAGAGGTCAGGGAAGCAGACCCTACGATGACAGGCTGAGAGCCCTGGGGCTCTTTAGCCTGGAAAAGTGCAGGCTCAGGGGTGATCTGATGGCCACCTACAAGTTTATCAGGGGTGACCACCAGCATCTGGGGAACGTTTGTTCACCAGAGCGCCCCAAGGGATGACGAGGTCGAATAGTCACAAACTACTTCAAGATCGTTGCAGGCTAGACATAAGGAAGAATTTCTTTACTGTCCAAGCCCCCAGGGTCTGGAACAGCCTGCCACCGGAGGTGGTTCAAGCGCCTTCATTGAACACCTTCAAGATGAAACTGGATGCTTATCTTGCTGGGATCCTATGACCCCAGCTGATTTCCTGCCCTTTGGGCAGGGGGCTGGACTCGATGATCTTCCGAGGTCCCTTCCAGCCCTAATGTCTATGAAATCTTAATGCTAATATATTTGTGGAATGTGTTTTCATTGCCTTTTTTATTTTTTTGTTAGCTGTACCTCAATTTGTACCCTGGCCTTCACATACCTTGTTATAAAACTGGGTCATAAGAGGGCAGAATCAATCCCGCTGTCTTCAGTGCCAGAGTTAAAGAATGTTATTTCCACAGGGTGTTGACACAGTGGTTGAAAAGTTTTGTTTTTTTTTTCCATGAAGAACGTCATCCTGTTGTGTAGGTATCACTCCTAATCTGCACAAACTTGACTTTCACTCTGTAGGAGGCAGCTGAGCTGTAGTTATTTGTATCTTCACCATTAAAGAGACTGAGACACTTGCTGCACAGTTCTCTGTGAAGCAAGGACACTGAACAGCTGGAGGGAAAGAAAGAAGAGATGAGCACCAGAGAGTCCCCATACTCCACTTGCTGGTCCTGCAGTGCAGGCTCCCTGAGGGATGTCATTCTGCCAAGACCTCTAAATCAGTGCCCAGAGCTTGTGCCCCACTTGCCCGCTCCTAATTATGGTACTGGATATTACAATACTCCTGCACCTGTAGCCCCCCCAGACTTATCTGTGCGGAAGCCCAGAAGCATCTAAATTATGCTTAGAGAAAAGTAGCTAGCCATGTTAGTCAAACAAGTTAAACTATGCTTCTCAGTGAGAATAGTGCCATAAACCTGATGTGTTAGTTGTGCTGTTTCTCCTTGCCTCCTGCCTTTCTTCCCTGGGTACTGCTGAGTCACCTTTCATTTTAGACATAAGATGGTTTAAATTAGCTAGAAAGAACTGGGAAATGGGAAACATACATTGTACAGAGGCAGAAGTGAAAACAGATGTGCAAAGAGAACAGGGCAGGAGGTTGAAACTGGGTCAGATTCCCTTTCATATAATTTTGGGCTAGCAATTTGCACATGGTAGCTCATAAAGGGAATGCATGGAGTTATTAATCCTACAAGGCCTGAAGGATGTTCTAGCCAATTTTTGGGCCTGGGATGCCATGGACATTTATAGTGCATTTGGTCTGATAATTACTGGGAAAAGAAAGTGTCAAAGTTAATGTGAATGGCAGACCTGAGCCATCTCAGGGGAGTGGAGAGAGGATTTTCTTCCATACAACATATACCTTTTCCCAAAAACCAGCTGTTGGAAATTGGAGTGTGCATTATTTGTGAGGAAATACAGTTACAGCAGTTCCTGCTGCATACATATGGGCCATGCAAAAGTGAAAGTAAAGTCTGCAGGTGATCTACCGGGAGCAGAACACTCAGCCGGCTCAGAGGCTGGGCTCAGCTCCCTAGCTACTGCTACTCAGTAACATACTGCAAGGAAAGATCTTTTTCCCTTTGTTCTGCCTTTCAGAAACAAGGTGCATATTTTATTTCAGGACACGCTGAATGAGAGAAAATATAGTATAACCCAGTGGCAGACTGACCGGGGGTGGGGGGGCATGGCCCTCGGTCGCTGGCCGGGGGGGCACCGACCAGACCCTCCAGAGTTCTTATTGCCCAATGTGGGGCCAGCTTTTTCTATGCAGGGGGCCCCACACAGTCTGCAGTGGCAGCCATGTTTGTTGCATAGCCTGCCCGCCCCATGGGTTGGATGTTTAGTTACCTGTTCCAGCTGGAAATTCAGGCTGCCACCCCTCCCCCCCATGCCCACTGTGCCAGGACTTTCATTTCCTTCCTGGCCAAAAGAGGTAACCAAACAATAGGGCTGTGGGAAATTTCAGCACCCTTTTTGTTTCGATCCTGTTTCGACCCATATTGACCTCAAAATAGCAAAGTTGAAACAAAACAGGCAGCCTCAAAACAGGGTCAAAACAAAACAGGGCAGGATGAAACATTTCAAAAAATTCAAAACGTTTCAAGTGTTGACCTTGAAGCTAGGGCTTGCCTTCAATGGCTTGCCTGCAGGAAAAGAGAAAGTAAAGTAACGGGAATGGAAAACTGCATAAAAGCCATCATTTGAACTGTCCTGCTTTCTGCTTTGGGGTCATTTACTAAGCTGTCTGTTTTAGCAGCTCACTGTCAGACCACTACGGCTAGCAGCACTGATTTTCTAAAGGATTCCCTGCTTGCTACCCTAGCAAGAGAGATTTCGGAATACATTTTTCTTGTAGGTGCTTTTATTTTATTATTATATTCATTGATTTATTCTTTTGAATTTTATACTTATATTGGATAGGATTACTATAGAATTTACTTTATTAAGAATTTACTGTATATATTTGTTTTTATACATTCATTCTATGCACCACACCTACACTATTGAATTTATATATGGAGACAGATATACTTCTATCACTTTCATAAATTTATTGACTGAACCAAACCTACATTTTTATATATATATATGGAGACAGATATATTTCTATTGCTATCATAAATTTCTTGACTGCACCAAACCTATATGTCTGAATTTATATAGGAATGCAAATACGTTTATATATTAGTAGAAAAAGAGGACATGAAAAACACCATGAAGCATGGTGGAAAGGCAGGTGGCCAGACTGGCCAGCCTTCAGGGAGGGGCGGAAGAGGGAGCAGAGGGAGAGCTGTAAGTTCCCCACCACCAAACTGAGATGCAGTGTCTTTCCTCCAGGTAAAAGGAATGAGGCTCTTACAAGCAGCAAGGAGAGGGGAGCAGTGCCACTGCCCCTGTCTGTGCCTGAGACTGCACCCCCTCCATGTGCAGCAGCCATAACCCACCCAGCCCCACCATGACAACAACCACAACCAGCAGCACCAGCACAACAGCCTACTCCACCCCTATTTCACTTCCCATGCTGAGCCTTCCAGTGCCAGAAGAAGAGCTGCCACTGGATCTGGATCTCAGTGCCCTAGCAAGGGAAATTCTGGGGAAGGAGTGGGAGTCAGCTGAGTTTGTGCTCGACACCTCTCAAGTTTCCCTTCAAGCCAGGTCTTCTTCCCCAGAAGGCACTTCAGAGGAGGTTGATGTAGAGGTTGTGGAGGCAAGTGGCTCGACTGAGTCCAGTCCTCCTCTTGCTGTGCCTCTGCCTGCTGAGGAGGGGGAAAGTGCAGCAGCATCCACAGATGTACCCACAGCCCAGAAGCAAGTGGGTAGTGTGGTCTGGGATCATATTGAGCTGGCAGATGATCCCACGTATGCTATTGCCTGCAATGCTGAGCCAAAACCAGCCAGGGCAAGGGAACAAAACATATGACCACCACAGGGATGTTGATGCATCTCCACAGGCACCACCCCCTTGCCCTTGCTCCTCCTCAGTCTGGCATAAGCAGGAGTGTGCCTAAAGGGAAATGCCCTGCTCACTCCAAAGCCCCTGTCCTCCCAAAGCAGAGGCAGGCCACCCTGGAACAGTGTGGGAAAGTTGGACAGAAAGCGGGGCATGTTCCAAAGGCAAGCGAGCTCACCCAGAGCATTGGGGAGATGCTTGCTGTTGATGGTCAGCCATTCTCCCTAGTTGAGTGGCCAGGATTCAGGCAGCTCATGGCGCTCATGATCCCATCATACCAAGTGCCCGCATGCACCACCTTCAGTAGGATGGTGGTGCCATCCCTATATCAGGCATACACGGAGTACTTGACAGAGGAGCTGGACAAGACAGGTCTGCAGGTGGCCTTCATTTCAGACATCTGGAGCAGATGAGGTGGAGATCATGCCTACCTCTCCCTCACAGGGCACTGATGTGACCAGTCAGGCCATTGGTGGGCTCTCCTTCAAGCCGAGGTGATGAATGAGTCCCACACAGCAACAGAGATCATGGAGGCCATGAACTGCTTGTTGCAGGGGTGGCTTGCTGGGCAGAGCAAGCTCACGCGCTGGTTCATGATCACTAATAATGGGGCCAGTATGGTCAAGGCAGTTCGTGATACTGTGTGGCGCACAAGTTGCACCTTTGTTGTCAGGGATGCCTTGGAGGGGGACAGGGCTGCAGGTGATGGTGCTGCTACTACCAGCAAGCTAATTTGAAAATGCAGGAAGATGACAGGCTATTTCCACCAGAGCATCAAGGGGGGCAAGATGCTGTGGGATAAACAAAAAGAGCTGAACATCCCACAGCACAAAATCATGCTGGATGTGGAGACTTGGTGGAACTCCACATACCTGATGCTCGAGAGGCTGGTGGAGCAACAGAAGGCCATCCATGAGATGACGTTGCTTGGGGATGTGCGGGCCGGGAGCGACCCGAGCCCTTTTTCGCGCTGCAAGCGGGCTGTGGCCAGCAGCCCGGGCACGCCGGGTCGGAGAGGGAAGGCCGTCGAGCTGGAATTAGGCACAAACGCTTAGCGGTAGTTTTAAAGATTGTTTACTTACACCGAGATGGCAGTGGTGTAGGCTGGAAAACTTGCTTGAGTTGCGGTTACAGACAGACAACACAGACGGTCTCGTGGAGGTTGCTAGGC